CCGGAGACATCAGATTCCACAGTTGTTTGTTTCTATTCTAACGTCACACTCACCAACATGTCCAGTGTGCCCAACTCCAAATACAGTATTTGTTAAGCAGGTGGTAATCGTGGATATTGTCACCTCTGCGAGATAATCTGTCACTGGTTCTACATGTCGGGTAATTGATCGTGATATTCAATTATGCACCAACTATCTTATTTCCTGCTGTGAAGGTAGTGTCAAACTCAGATATGTATATTGATGATGCTGCTGGTTACATGTATCCCATGTCAATATCATCCTCTTGACCCATTTAATGATATTCGTGACATATGGTGTAACGGTTTATGCAATTAATTTTATTTGTTTCCCAGACCCTAGGGAATGTATTACTGGAGACAACTCAAGTCTTGGATCATCTGGCAAGTCTAGGTTCCTCACGCTGGAATAAAGCATTGTTCTGTTCTTCTTTTAAATAATTCTTTTCATTTTATGGAAATGTATTTTCATGAGATAACTTTACTTTTAGAATAGATGGAGATTTTAGATATAATAATGATAGAGAAAAAACCCAGCAAACTGCCAACACAGCCTCTTATGTTTGAACCCATGAAGATCCGGGTTAGAACTGATCTTCAATAACCCATGCTTGTTGTAAGAGGCGACTTACGGGATCAGGTGGTCAGGCTCGCTGACTTGGTTGACACATGTCATCGGTTACAAACTGCGCACATCGATGGTCATGTTGTTGATCACCTGATTGTCTGGTCCAGACTCGATTATTTACAGACTGCTGCCATATAGCTGGAATATTGCTGAGTGTGACGTAAAATTGAACTCACTCACTCACTTATGTTTGAAGGTCTAAACTTGTTCTTTTATACACAACATAAACAAATTTACAATGATAATTTTTTCATACGACTGATATAGTTTTGGGTTATTGCAACACACTGCTGTTCAACAGTCAGTCTTCAATGAATTGTTTTAAATAATAGAATTTTCAGTCTTACAGGAAAATGTCATGATGTAGAACTTGAGGGCAGATACACTGTAAAATGTCAGGTTGGCTTTCCTGTGTAGGGATGAAAAGAATCTATTCTCAATGTAGAAATATGGATTTGCCAGATAGAAATTATGCTTGATATATACTGTACTTACTCCCAAACAAATTATTTATAATGAAATGTATTTTACATTTGTATGTTTTGTACATGGTAATGGAATTGCTAGGCTTGTTTTATTGAAAAACACAATCTCAAAGTCATATTTGTCTCATGTAAACATTTCGTCAGAAAATGTTTACAAATCTTCCGAAAAAGATTCCACTGGGTTTAAAATAGTAGAGGCAAGTATACGAATGGAAATGACAACACCAGGTGTTCATGAACATGTTATGCATGTTTGGCTCTACAGCTAGTTCCCACCATGCATACAATTTGCATAAAACATCAGTATTAATTGTGTAATGACACCCAGGAGCACACCTATCACATGACAACAAACTATTAATGAGACGACTAATCTCCTTAGATTTCCATTGTAAGTAAATGACAATGTTTGAGTTCAGGTAAAACTGACCATCTACAAAACCCATTCCTTACCACTCATAGATTAATCCTGCTCAGCAGTGTATTTACTGAGAAAAAAAAACAGTGATGTTCACAGGTATTTGACAGTTAATCCACAGAAATTACATGCAGGCCTGTGAAGGACATTAGGTTGTGAATTACATTATGTAATCGCTGGTCTGACAGCTGTTGTCCCCCACTGGGTACTAACAAGATATTGGAGGTGGGACTGGCCAGCACATCTGATGTCCATTATGCAACGTACAAGTCACTTGTCACTCTCGGCTTGTCAGTGTCAGTGTTAATTTCAGTCACGCAAAGTTGTGTTAGTTTCAATGTGTTTCTCTGGACTGTTGGTTAAAGTCATGGTAGCAATTGATTTCCAATGACATATATGTTCCTTGGGGCTTAGTTCTTGTTTTTTTGGGTTCGAATTGCTGACGGTAAGAATGATAAATTGCGAAAAAATGACAAGTTTTGTTTTGTGAAAGATAAATAAAATGCTACTGTCTGGTTTTAAATTAACATATGTTATATTTGGGATCAAGTTACATTTGACCACTTTCTATTGGCATTGTATTTTCATAGGTTTCAGATTCATAATTGATAAACTTTTACGGATAACAACGTCTATATTACGAGTGCAACATATTGATGCAGATTCAATAAAGAAGTTGTTAACCATAAAGTTTTTCAATTTTGTACTTCCCAACTTCTAAAATGCCTCTCAGTGAAGTTTCAGATTCATAGTTTTAACTACCCACACAGGCCAAGATATGCTTTAGTTTTTAGACATTTAGAAAATGGCCAAATGTAGCATAATCCCAAATATAACATATGTTAAATCTAAAACAAGGCAGTGCATGTTGTTTTTGTTGTTTATTACATAAACAAAATTTGTTATTTGCTCTGAATGTACCATTTGGAAGGTCAGCTGGATCCCTAATCTTGTAAAAAGCATGGCCATGTTTGCAGTATTCTTTTTTCCTGCTTCATATCATCAAAGGTCATTTCTGGAAAAATATGTCAAAATAAACATCACATTATTTCCATTAGTGTGTTCAAGATGTTAAAAATTAGCAATTGATGACTTTATTATGCCAGTTTAAACTGTTTATTATGTCAATCAAACTGTAACATGGCAATTAATTACACATTGGATAACACCCACTCTGACACCTCCAGCCATGTCAGGCCCACTTGGCCTACTGCTTATTGTGTAACACTTCCTACTCAACAACAGGTTTGCTTGGTACCAAGTAGGTAATCACTTTATTTCTCTTTCTATGTCCTAAACTATCTCTTTATACCTCATCCTTTTGCTCTTTTCAAATATTGATTATGTAAAGAAATTATGATTCTGTGTGTTACCTTGGTAACCAGCATTTACAGGAATCATAGTTCTCAATGTCAGTAGTTGAAACATGTTTATATAACACAGTTTGTATTTATGTGGTAGGAGGTAACTGATTAGTTTTAGTGGGAATATAATGATGCTCTAAAGTATATTTTTAAAAACAAATTATATTAAATATATGAATAATAATAAGTATCCATTTATGTGGCGCCAAACTTAGGTCATAGCACTAACGATCAAAGCACAGCATATTATTACCCCAGATAACCCAAGCAGCCAGGTGCTAGAAGGTTGTAGTCACATGACTTATCCCACCGGGTACCCATTATTATTAGAAATATGAAAGATGAAAATATAAAGGGAAAGATGTAGGATTGCATGTAGTTTGTCTGTATGACTACAGCAGTTCTGTAGTTGACAGTTACTGTTGATTAAGGATTATATTACAATGAGAGCTGGATGCAGGATATTTATTCACCAATAAACTGGACACCAACACTAAGAATAAATGTTTCAGTTCTCTATCATTATACCACTTGGTGTCAATATCACCAGTGTACAGTATACATGGAACGTTTGCGCAATAAATATCTTGTATCTATATTACATTGTGAAATTTCTCGAGGAGTACCACCAGAAGACAGAGTGTGTTTTGTCATTATAAATCATCATTAATGACCAATGTAGTACAATGGTTTGTAGAAATAGTAATATTTGTTTTTTTGAGGACAGATACTGTTTTATCTTAAGTAGGTGGTTAATGATGAAATAATGCAGACTCTTATTACTGTGAGAACCAGAAGTCATGTATCATCTTGCCATAAAGAACGATCAACAGAGGCCTCGTTATAACGCGAAAGAAATCAGCCAAGGGACAATCAGTGTAAACCTCACTATAGGGCCCTACTATACAATACCTCATTATACAAAGGTCCTAAGTGACAGTCCACTCTCATTTCATTATCTCTCTGCCTGTCAATCATTGCTAGGAGTGTTCTCATTGGTTAATGAGACTAGACAATCCCTCTCCCAGGCTTGATTGACAGGTGCCCTGGTGGGGGGAAATGCTTCTTTCTTCTATCGTTCATTCATGCCTAACAGAAAGCAGCCACACTAGGCTGTATGCAGGGAATCTAGCTTGCTGAATCCTCACGCCTGTAGGCTGTTAGGGCCAGGGAGAGAGCCGGTTACGCCAAGCACACGGCTTAGTTGGCCATTACAGTGCGAGGGAGAGAGACACAGAGCTATCAGGTTAGACACATGCTACTGGTGGATGGTCACTTGTAGGATGATACAAGCTTTGAACAGACTCCGGACCATATACTGTAGATTCTTGGATCAATCACGGAATCGTCAATGCCAGTTGGGATACCAGCTGAACGTGGTGTGGGCTTGTTTAATGTGAGTGCGTCAGTCGGCCCTGGATTATTGTTTTGGTTTGGGTACTCCTCCTCGTGGACCCTTTAATGGCTCTGGAGCAGGATGACAGAATGTAACCATTGTCACACTGTGCTACTGCCTCTATGGAGTATGGGCTATGTATGAAGCATCAGTTCGGATCTTTGTTTCAAGGAAACCTGGAACCACGCTTCTGCGGCATCAGTTTTATTGAACATGTACGAAGATGTACATGAATATGTCATGACGGATGTTGTCATTGCGTGAGTCTGCAGGAACATGCTTCTTCAAAAGTCAAATGTGGACTCCCCGAAAGCTGCATATTGGAGATAATGTGATGCTCGTTGAAATTGTTATTTGCGACGTCTTGCACCACTGTGGCAAGCAAATAGGGTTCTGGGATATTTGTGTCCATCGCATGTATTGCACATCTATTTCAGTGTCAAGGGATTGCAGTGCCTGGTACTCTAAGAGACCAGCGTGCTAACACCTCCTATTTACACAGTAAGATTGATTATGGTGACTCTTCGTTGTGGAATAACAGAGAATAACCGGTGTTTACGTTCACGTATCTCACAGTGTAGAACACTAGGAACACTTCAATAATTGATACACTTTCCTCAATGTTCACTTGAAACTGATTGATCTTTACGTGACATCAACTCAAGGCCTTTTCTCTTGTGTTTCAGCAGAGGTGTACCTATTTGGAGTAACACTATTGCACTTGGATTTACTTTGTGATTCTAAGGATTTCTACAGAAAAGGTAGGAATGTTTTCACTTTACTACACATATTTATGTCCATTGTGTTTGGGTAGTATTTGTTTGGGGCTGTTGTACAGTTGTTTAGGGCAATAATAATTATGTAGTACAGTTGTTTAGGGCAATAATAATAATATAGTACAGTTGTTTAGGGCAATAATAATAATGTAGTACAGTTGTTTAGGGCAATAATAATAATATAGTACAGTTGTTTAGGGCAATAATAATAATGTAGTACAGTTGTTTAGGGCAATAATAATAATATAGTACAGTTGTTTAGGGCAATAATAATAATGTAGTACAGTTGTTTAGGGCAATAATAATAATGTATGATTGTTTAGGGGCAGTATAGTTGTTGGCAAATATAATACAGTTGTTTGCTGTTGTAGCGTTGTTGTTTTTCTCCTGACCTCATTCATTGTATTGATAATGCTAGTTGTATGGTCAGTAGTACAGTTGTGTGAGGCTGTGTGAACCCCAAATAATGTTGTTTTTTCTCATTGCCTCATTGTTTGTAATGATTGAGTATTGATAATACTAGTTATTTGGACAGTAGTACAGTTGTTTGACCCAAAATAATGAAGTTTTTTTCTCATAGCCTCATGTATTGTAATGATTTTATCAATAATACTAGTTATTTGTAAAGACACAACAAACAAAAGGTATTTCCCAGTTAGTCCACCTACAGTAGATGTAAACTGACACTGTGGTATCTTGGCATCTCTTTCATAGTACGAGGATAAATGGTCAGTTTCTTTGTGTCACCATCATCTGACAAAACCTTTCAAACAAGGACGACCAACACAAGGAACATTCAGGCATTCAGGATATTCAGTGACCTTTGTTATCACCAATCTTGAACATCCATAGTGCAACATGTTACAGCTGTAGTTCCCCCCCCCCTCTCCCCTCTCAACCTTGCACCCTGAATATTTCTCCTCCCTGTCTTTGGCGGGAAGTCTTCATGTCTGTTTCCAGCCCTCGTCCCATCAGGGCAGCGTTGTAGCGTGCTGTGTGACGGACATTGACTATAAATGATATTGGATCCTATATGGCTATCATAATTTGTATTGATTACACCATCCCCCGTCCTGCTGAAGTCTGTCCAGTCGGCGCTGGCTTCCAGGAGGTCCCTGCCCTCCTTCTGCAACAGTAAATCTGACACATGGTGATAATGATTGCACGTTGCAGTCAGTTCTGCGCTCGTGAAATACTCAAATGTTTTTGCCATTCTAAATATGTACATGTGCGTTTTCGAGCGTACATTCAACATGGAGTAATTTGTAGTAGCAGTTCTGTGTTCTTTATTCTTTAAAATATATAATCGAAGCAATTTGCCTCATCCCGACACATTCATCATCATAGTACATCATAGTGATCATCATCATCATCATCTCTAGTATCATCATGTTTATTTTATGTGTCATAAGACAAATACAATCCTACATCTGCCTCCTGTAAAAGATCAAGTTTTGATGTTACTTATGGCGAAAACTGTCACGTCTTAACGTCTGTTACTGTCATTCACATCTGCAGATGTGGCTGGAATCCACGTGGTTAGTGAAGAATGTTTCAAAAACATGCCGTATCCCCCACAAACATATGCCGTATCCCCCTGAAACTTTGTACTTGGAAAAACACACACCCATCAGTCACATGTCGTTCATAGATGGCTCGCCAGACTCGAGAGGGTGGGTGGGGTGGCAGTGGAGGGGGGTGGTTCTGTCACTTGTGACTGTTTATGTTGCAGTTGAATGAAATTGTTTCCCTACTCTGAGCTTCATGTTTTTAGTTATTGATTAGACAAGCCTGCTTTGTTATGATCAAAACTGTCGACCTAACATTTATTAACTTGTATTGAGCTCTCACACAGGATATATAGCGACATGCTGTTGAGTAAATCAGTGTTCCACAAAGTGTTAGTAAACTAGTCTTGCAGTTGGATACTTTGTTACCATGGTTACAGGTTACATTACGTGAGCAATAATTGCAATATGATAGCATATATCATCATGAAAATACATATTCAATAATCAGCTGTTTCAGAAGTTCCATGAAATATCATCCTTTATTGTGTTGGTCCTGGTTCAGTGTGTTAGTAACATGGCAGTAGAAGGGATTGTTCCACAGTTTCATGGGTTTCTTGTGCTGAGTGACCATATTTGAGCTATCTGTGCACCAGAGCTTGCTGGGACCTTCCAGTAACCCTTGGTTCCCCCCGCTCCCGCAACTAAAGCCACATGTGCTTCGAGTTTCACACATATGCTCCTCCAGATTAGATTTGCTTCTAGAAGCCTGTCTTATCATCCGTATATGAGCCACACAACCTGACCACAATTCGCCAACTGACCAAATATTCCCCCAGTTAGGATTTCAAACACTGTCTGTGTAGATTAGCTCGCCTGTTGTTTATGTCCTAATCCTAAGCCATACATCGTCATCATCTCGCACCGATTCCATCACTAAACTGTGAAATCAGATCCGCCAGTCGGGCAGCTACAAATACCTAAACGTGGCAAACAACTCGCTCTCAGTGGCAATTGAGGTTTGCCACTTTTCAGAGATGGAAATGAAAAGCTGATTGTATTTAGCAGGGATTGTGTTTTCAGACACTGTTTACACCAAAATAGATGTACCCTCTACTTACAAGGTAACCAGAATTGATAGTTTGGGTCTGATGTTACTGCATGTTCAGACACAGCGTTCCTTCAGGCAGTTCCTCTTTCCAGGCCTATAAATTAAAGTGTGTCAACATCGTATAAGATGACTGTATAACGTCTAATCGATGATAATTACATTTAAGTAGATGTGAACCTTTGTAGTTAGATTGCAAGGATCTATTTGCATTATGTGGAAGCACAATAATGAAAGTAAGAAGGGAAAATGTAAACATCAACTAATGGGTGAAGCCATTTGTGATTATTTGCCAAAACGGATTCCAAGGCAGTAAGGCAAAATATGGTGAAAAGTTACGTGGATGGAGATAGACAGGTGTTCAGGAAACTGCAAAGCACGTGCTGATCTATATCCTCACTCATAGTCTGTCTCACAATCCCAGAACCACAATAGTTTCCTTCCTGCCTAGCCCTCCTTCTGAAGCCCGAATCTGCCAACTCACTGGGGCTTCTTTTCAATTTAAATGCGTTTATTTGTTGCTGTTAAACTGTATATTCAGGGACTAAGCATTAATCTACCTCACTCACACAATTACTCGATGTATATAGGACTGACGAATTGGTAAAACAAACGAGTTGTACAGCAAAATCTTATCATGTGTTGTTCATCAACTAACAATAAAGAGCATTTCAAACCCACGTCTCGTTCATTACCATGCTCTGTGCTTTCCTCTTTTTACTGTCTTCCTGACCATAAATAATGAGATGTTTCTCTTCATCTGCTTGTTTTACCTGTTTAATCTATCAAACAGGTGTACAAAGTGATATATTCTTTATGTAATACCGTTGAACGTTACGTATTTTTTCAGTTGCTATTATCATTCTATTTACAGACATAACTTACCGCCAAACATCTTCTTTCTGTTCTGTTTTCTTTGGAATAATCATAGAATAATTACTGAAACAGGAGTAATGGGACATGAACCAGTGCTGATGTTTGTCATCGGGAAATTGTTGTCAAAGATGTGGTAAAATACTAAAAGGACCACACTCTTTCCAAATTCATTTCAATTGAGAATGGTCCTTTAATATCCCCCGGTTAGGATTTCAAACACTGTGTGGATTAGCTCGACTGTTGTTTATATCCTAGTCCTAGAACCACACTGTTTCCAAAGTCATTTCAATTGAGAAATGGTCCTTTAATATTATTTCGGAACTAAATGTTAATTTACTGAAAGGTATTCATTATAATTTGTTTCACTTATACTCCCCTTCAAAAGTTTAGACTCACTAGTGTAAATGTAGCCACTTACTTCAGTCAACTGTTCAACTAGATTTTGCAAAATATTCTATACAGTTCAAAGGTATTGTTTACACATGAACTAATGTATTGTAAAACAAATTTGTAACGTTGAAAAGATTATTGTCATGATTAAATGATTGAAACTCAGTGAAAATTGGTGAATTCTTAACAAAACTTTACACCAAACCGCAGCTGTTCACATGCACGATATTTGCACATGCTTTTCAGCAATTTGATGCATGATCCTCATGCAATTCATCTGCATAAGGTTTGCAGTTTGTTCCCGCAAGTTAGTGGAGAAATTCATCTTCGGTAACTATGTATATATACATAACATATAGTGAGTGCTTTAAGTGAGTCTAAACTTTTGATGGGTAGTATATGTTCAGAGATGTTCTTGTGTATAGTTCGTCTGTTAATTGTAAACATTGAGTGCTATTCACAGAAATCTGTTCCAAATTCAACAAATAATTGATTTAACCCTTAAAGCAGCAGACAAAGTTATCTTTCCACAATTCCCTACTACAGAACCTGTTCTGCATATGATAAACCTCTTCCTCAGTTATCTACATGTTGATTACATCAAGTTGGGAGTTGATATAACCCCTCAGGAGACGACACACCCATGACATGGGGACAGGCTCCTGTACCTGTGTGAGCCTGTCACCTGTCCGCACGCCCCTGGGGACCCCTCGCACACAGTCACACCTGAGATCCTGGGTGAGATAAAAAACTCATTAGTCAAATAAGTTCGTGTAATTTATGACCGTAGATGTCTTGTTGACCAGGGGCTATGTGCAAAAGATCAACAACTTATACCAGGACTGTTGTAACATCACAATCTTGTGGTAGTGTTTTACTACTGTTTCATATTAGAGTGAGTGAGTGAGTATGGCTTTACGCCACTTTTAGCAATATTCCAGCAATATCATGGCGGTGGACACCAGAAATTGGTTTCACACATTGTGCCCATGTGGGGAATCGAACACAGGTCTTCAGCGTGATGAGCGGACACTTTAACCATAAGCCACCCTACCGCCCCGTTTCATATCAGAGAAACTCACACAAAATACCCTATTTATTTG